TTTCATGAGCACACTACTCATGTGAGTATAATATCATTTAAGGATATTGGGTTTTAGTGGGAGATTGTATTTAATGATCGTTTATTATAAACACAATTTCAGTTACTTTAGTTTAAGGACATTTATTTTAAAGTTATTTTCGGCAGAAATAAAGTTTATTTTGGTTTATCTACTCTGGTTTTGGTAAAATTTGATCTCATTAATGTTTAAATATGACCAGTTGGAAATAGACATGTGCGATTCACATTGAATGCAATTTCCATGCTACGCTCCATGATTGATCTCTGTCATTTGACTGTGTTTGTATACGTGACCAATGATGGATCTAGTCATGATAGCTATGACAAAGGCTGCTTTGATCCTATATGGATATAGTTGATGGACAAGATTGTATAGAATACCTATTGCATGATAAGAAGTTTTGAGCTCATAAGGATACATTTATCAAGAAACATATGTTGCCCAAGTCGGAGATTGTTGGATTAAAATCCATAATAATGGACACATATTTATGATATATACGATTATCATAAAATATGAATAAATTAAGCAACTAATTATGTTATAAAGTCATAAGATATTAAATGTGTCATGGAAATAAAAATGTAAATACTATTAAAGTTATATTTATAACTTGATGAGGGGCAGAGTTATAAGTATAGACAATAAGTAATTCTTAAATAAGTTATAAAAATGAGTTATAGTCCCCAAGAAATAGAATGTAGAATCTGCCGACATCTGAAGGGAGGAAACTTGAAGACACCACCTCCGGAGCAAGGCCAAGCCAATCATTATTAGCCACCATACGATCGAGTCTCTCGAAGACACCACCTCTCAACCATGTTAAGGGAGGACCTTTGAAGCTTAAATCGAAGAGGCTATGTCGTTCCAGGAAGTGTTGAAATAAATTAAATCTAGTGCATTTTTTGGATCTACCTCTCTTATCATTACTATTTAAGATGGCATTAAAATCGCCTGTCAGAAGCCACGATGTTCTGGGATTGATCGAAAGATTACTGAGATCTCTCTGCAAAGCATGACTTTTATACTTATCAGGGTGACCATAGATCACAGACACAAAGAAGGGGGGATAAGGATCCAAGCTTACTCTCCAGGTAATACTGTGGACGACCAGCAATAATCTCAACTATAACAGAGGACTTCCAAATGAGCTAGAAGCCTCTAGAGAAACTGACGGCCTCGATAAGAAAAGAGTTATCGAATTCGAGTTTATCAATAACTATGTTAGTTTTACAGCCACTTATTTGGGGTTATAACAGAGTAACCATATCCGGTTTGTGCTCCATAGTATATTCCTTGAAAACTTCATAAACCTAACTCCGCCACAGTCTTGATTATTCCATGTAAGTAATTTAAAATCCATAGATAACAAATGAAAAGAGATAGCAAACCTCTACTATTCACTATTAGTTTTAGTGGTATCCAGATCAGCTCTCCTGAAATGGGTCTGGAGTTGGCCATCAATATTTTCAATGACCTCCTACATGGCCACTTGTATGTGTGCTTTAAGATTTTTACTTGCCTTAATTTAATTTTTTTTTTTTTTTTTTTGTATAACATAGGGCGTTGTACGACCTTTTGACTTTATGATGTTGTATGGATTGGCTTGAATGCATCTCTTGCTAGTGCTAAAGCCACCACCCTGGTTTTCCTTACTAACGACCGCTGAATGGTTTAGGGTATACCTGGTAAACTTGACCTGAATTCGAATATCCGAATCAATTTGCTCGACCCGATACTCGATATTAACCCGAATATAATAATCAAATTTGATCTGATACCCGACCCGAACCATACCCAATCCGAAATTTAGCGAAACCAAAAGCAACCCGAATCGAAATTAACTCAAACTAAAACCGAAACTAACCTAAATCAAAAGCAACCCGAACTGAAACTAACCCGAACCGAAAGAAACCTGAACCAAATTTTAACATGAACCGATATAAACCCGAACCTAATTTTAACCTGATCTGAAAGCAACATGAACCAAATTTAACCTGACCCAAAAGCAACCTAAACAGAAATTAATATGAACCGAAAGTAACCCAAACCGAAAGCAAACATACTTTAATTTACCCAATTTGATTTGAACCAAACATTGCCCTATTTTTTAATTGATAAATGAGTAAAAATGGACGAGTAATTTATTGTTATTATATATATTTTAACAACGTGATGGATAGTAAAATAATATATGTTTTATTCTTTTTTTTTTATTATACTCTTAATTAGCCACCAACTTTGGTAATAGTTTAATGAATATTAGTATCACCTTTGACAATAGTTCAATAATTTACTATTAATTTTTAGTTTAAAAAGTTATATTCATATTTGATTCAATAAATTTTAAAACCAATTAAAAAATTATTTGAATGAAGAATTATAAAATAAAGTTACTTCCTAGTATTTTATTTTATATGATTAACATTAATTGTCATCATTTAGATAGTATACTCAATATTGTATAATTTAATTAACTTTAAAAGAAAAAAATTCAATTTTTATAAACACAAATTAACATGAAACACAAATCTCAAATAAAGAATTCTAATTCAAAGAATCAAAAGTGATATGTAGCTACTACTCTTGCACATCAAATTTAAAAGATCAATAAAATAGTTTGAAAGAATCAAATTCAACCCCCTTAAATCTTAAAATATCAGTAGACATAAATACTATATGTATTAATTGTTGAATTAAATCAAACCCACATCAGAACCGAAAAAACTCATCTTCCTCTGTAGCTACATAAATTAAAAGAAGAAGTTATTAATTTGTTTACCAAAATAAAAAAATGAAATAGATTAATAGTAATAATAAAAAGATGGTGTGGTAAACAAACTTTACTATAAGAAATCGAAAAAAATCTAAAAGGAAATAAAAACTTACATTCATAATCGAATAACCAACTATGAGACGTTATCAAAGCTTTCACATTTTTAGGGATATAAGAACTTCTCTGCTTATTCAAAATTTGACATTCTATACTAAAAGTTGATTCTGAAGCAACAATTGTAAGAGGTATCAAAATATCCCTAGCAAGATGAGAAAGTTGTCCATAATGATGCTCATTTTCTTTCCAAAAATTAAGGATGTCAAGCTCTGTTTTTCTATCAATTTTGGGGTCGTCTAAGTAAACATCTAATTGTGTCTTAGCATAATAAGAAAACATGACCTCTTTCTTGTCATAATCCTGTAAAAATATAAAAAATAATATAACTTGTATTATATAAATTATAAAAAATAGTGAAAATGAAAAACATTAAATGAAAAATAGAAAAAAAAAGTTAAAAATATAAGAAACTTACTGCAAAAAGGTCGAATTTTCGTTTGTGATGTGCAAATGACGTGCTCAAAGTATCTGAGTTCGAGCTCAATTCTAAGGACGGTTCATGTGAGATGTGTGTTTCTGAAACATATTCTTTAAAAATCATCTCTAACTTAAATCTTATATCACGGATTTTTAAAATGGCGTCTATTTCATCCTCAAATAATTTTTCATAACAATAATTGATAAAAGACAACTTACAACGAGGATCAAGAATCATCGCAAAGGTAAACAACGTGTCATAGTCATCCTCACTCGAGTTGAACCAATACTTATCAAACTTTTTCTTCATTTCTACTGCAATTGTTTTCAAAACTACATCATTACTTCTTGTCAGCTTTCTTAAAAGCATACAAATTTTCTAAACATTCTCAAAGTATAAATTCGCATAGAATAATCATTTCCTGAAAATAACTTAGTTATATCAAAGAATAGTTCTAAAATATCTCAAATTTTTTCAAGCATTTCCCATTCTTCGATGTTTGGATAGTGAAAAAAGAAGAATCAACAACAACCATTTACTTAAAAGCTTCCTGATATAAAATAGCCCTATTAAGCATCATGTATGTAGAGTTCTATCTTGTAGGAACATCAAGCCACAATACTTAGTTTCTTCTATCTTGGCTAATTTCACACTACCACTACAGCAAAAATGTTCTACAACGGCATTTTTAGCGGCGTTTTGAGAGTAAACGCCACTAACTTTAAATATATAGCGGCGTTTACATTCCAAACGCCATAAAATGGTAACTTTAGCGGCATTTTATATAAAATGTTGCTACATAGTAGTACTTTAGCGACGTTTGTATAAAAATACCGTAATATGGTTCATCTATAGTGACATTTTTTAACAAACGCCACAAAAAAGTAGTACTTTAGTGGTGTTTTATACAAACATCGTAATATGGTTCATCTATAGTGGCATTTTTTAACAAACGCTGCAACAAAGTAGTATGTTAGCGGTATTTTATACAAAAGTCACAATAGTGTTTATCTATAGTGACATTTTTCAACAAACGTCACAACAGAGTAATACTTTAGTGGTGTTTTTATTCAAATGTTGTAATAGGGTTCATCTATAGTGATATTTTTTCAACGAACGCGGCAACATAGTAATTTTTAAATTCTGAAATTTGAATGGCATTTGTCTTTTCAAGCATTAGTTTAGAAATAACCCAGTCAATTTATTTGCTTGCTGCCCTATTTGCTTCGATCCCTATTTGTTTCGGTCCCTTCACTGTTCCTTATCGAACTAATTGCGGTCATTGGTATTGCGATACTTCTTTTTCAACTTCCTTTCCTTTTCTTTTACAATTTTATTTGGTTACCACAGTCTGAAGTTTCCTTCTGTTTGTTGTTTCGTTGGTTAGAAATTTTTAAGAAAGGAAAAGAAATAGGGTTTTCCTCTGTAATTTTTTGTTGAGCTTTAGTTTAGGGTTTGATTAACTGAATCATTTCAAATTACTTAAAGTTTTCACTGCTTAACGTTAAATTTTTCCTCTTTAACTTTCCTCGGAACTTTAAAATCAATATTGGGAATGTACACTATGCTTCTTCCTACAAAATTTCCTACTCTTTGTATTATTTTTGGTGATTTTTTTTTTGTTTATTTAAACCCAGTGTGGCGGCTCATTTGTCTTCATCTCTCAAAATGGGTCGGGCAATGGCTACCAGTTCTTCGTCTTCCAGCTACAGTACCGACCTCTTTGCTTTCTCAAGCACCGCTTCTTTCTCTTCCTCCTCCCAGAGGGACCTCAGCACAAATCTTCACCTTGGTCTCAGAATTTCGATTAGCCCTCCTTATGCAATGTGTTTATCTGGTCTTTTGAATGTAATAAATGCTATTGCTATTAGAGTCAATAAGATACTGCAGGACTAATGAAGAATCTGGTGTATCCTAAATCAGAGAACCGATGAAGGTGGTGGTAGAAGAAGAATACGAGTGCAACAACTCAACATTCTTTGCCAAGGTTTACATAGAAGGAATTCCTATTGGGAGAAAACTAGACCTGATGGCTCACGAGAGTTACTATGATCTGATAAGGGCTCTTGAGAACATTATCTGTAAGATTCAGTTTAATTCCCTTCATTTTTTAATTGAGAATTTAATGTTTTTGAGCAGAAATGGGGAGTTATGAATGACAGGGGAATTATGAATGACAGGGGCAGAGGCAGAGGTGGATGGAGATAAGTGTGAGAAATGTCATGTGTTGACGTATGAAGACAATGAAGGGGTTTGGATGGTGGTTGGTGATGTTCCTTGAGAGTAGGTTATCAAACTTCTCTGCATTTGTAAATTTCAGAATACTAGTAGAGCTGAAATCTGATCTTATAATGCATGTTGTGTATAAGATGTTCTTGTCAGCTGTGAGAAGATTGAAGATCAGCAAGTGCTGAAGCAAAATACAAAGTCGTTGGTTTTAAAAGTAGATATCTTGTTGTGTTCCTGTCGAGTGCAAATTAAAGGAATAGGTAGGCGGGGAAAATGGGATAAGTTTAGGATTTTGAGTGTACATTCCCAATACTAAAATGATAAGAGTAACAAAGCATCAGTTTTGTCTTTGAGCTGATTTTAAAGTACCGTGGATCTTCTCCCTTAGCAAGTTCAAAGCTTTAGGTTTCAGTAGAGCTGATTTAAGAATGTTTTCTTGGTCTTGCCTTTTATGATTTTGAGTTTATTATGTTCATGTTTGTGGAATGCGCTTCAATGAACAGGTTAAAGCAGGCATTGAAAGCTGGCTTTAACCATCTTGTTTTTGAAGACAATTATGATATTGGAACTGGAGATCATTATTCACTGAGGCAGATATGTGACCAGTTCTATATAAGATGTACATGCTCTGACACCATTTTATCTGCATTTCTTTAATCCTTTTTCATTATGTCTGAAATTCATATCCTTGAATTCCATGCTTGTACTCCCTCATTTTGCCATATTTGAGTGGTATAACCTCCTCTTTCTTGGAGTTGCGCGTGGATTCATTCAGGTATGTGTGCTATTATATCCACATGTATACTCTACACGCTAGTAAACTTGGATGCTTAGTGTTTTTTTTTCTTTCTTGCTTGTCTATTCTCTCCTTTGACACATACAACTTTAAAATTATTGGCTTTGATTCAGTGATCTTTTTAAGAATACTGTTGTGTGTCGTTAATATTTCAGATGTTTTTCTGTATAATTTAATGGCACCCATAGATTCATTTATTTTCCTGCGGTTGTGACAGTACCAGTTCATTTGTTTGTTCAATTAGGCATGTGGACATAAATGTTGTTTTTTCATTGGAGAAGATATGCAATTTTACTTTATTTTTCATTTTTTTCACTAGTATTACAGTGTTTTCCTTCCCTTTTACTCAGATTATTAGCTATGAGTTTTTTATGGATGCAGCTACATGCTTTTTGCAGTTATGTGGAGGTAAACCTTCAGAAGGGGTTTTGTTGGTGCGTTCTGGTCTCTGTCTTCTACAGCAGTGCTAAACCTCTATGAACTTGGATGCTATGAGTTTAAGTGCCCTTCATGGTTTGTTTATGCTTCTGGGTTCAAGTTAGAAACTTATTTTGTTTTATATTATACAACAAGGTTTTGTTAATTTATTTCGTTCTAGGTTCAAGTAAAAAACTAATTTTGTTTTATTTTCCATTTTCTCCGACGCTTATTATTGTTTTTAATGAAATGAATTGAGTTGATTATTCTGTAAGTTTACTATTTGATAAAGAAATTGAAACATTTCTTGGAAAAGGAAAAAAACTACTATCTTTTGGGAAGACTCATTATTTATAATAGTTATTCATTTGTTCATACTGTCTAGGCTATTGCTTTTTGTTACTGCAAAATAACAGCTGCCGCTACCAGCTCTTTAAATAATTACATCAGACCCAAGGTTTAAACTCATCAGTAAAATAATATTATATTAACATTAATGGAAGTTTAAGGATTAAGATAGTGATGATCAATAATTTACAGGTTCAATGAAGAGCAACCCAATCAAATCTGCCTACGTCAACCTTTTGCAAATAGTGTCGTTTGTGGTAAAAATAACACTACAAATCAAAATATATAGCGACATTTTGTATTAAAAACGTCACTAAAAATAATAGAATTAGCGACGTTTGTGGGAAAAAATGCTACTAACAACAAAAGAATTACCGGTGTTTATGACAAAAAAAGCCACTAAAGACAGGCTAATTAGCGGCGTTTGTGAACAAAAAATGCCACTATAAATCACAACATATAACGGCGTTTGAAAGAAAAAAACGTTGTTGTATAGCTCGACCTTTTGCAGCGTTTTAGGTTCACAATCGCCGCTACCTTTTGTGGCTTTTGTTTTAGTAGCGCTTCTTGCGGCACTCTTCCTAGCGTCGGTAGTGTTTTTAGAAGTGCTTAAAAACACCGCTATAGGTCTAAAAAAGTCACTAAAACATGTTTTACTGTAGTGTACGTCGAAAAACATTTTTTCTTGTTTATGACCATTTGATATTCTTCACACATTTTTTTATCTTGACAACAATATGTTCAATGAACTTAAAACCATCGTTAACAATGAGATTCAACAGATGTGCAACACATCGAACATGAAAGTAAGCCCCTCCACATAATAAAGCCCCTCGAGCATTAAAAGTTTCCTTCAAGTGATCTTGCATTTTATCAATACTAGAAGCATTATCTAGTGTAATGGGAAAATATCTTATAGTCAATACCCCAATCCTGAAGTAAGTATAGCAAAATACTATATATATTACTTCCAGTATGCAATGAGTCAACATGACAAAAGTTTAAAACTTTACTATTTAACTTCCAATTAGCATCCACATAATGAGGAGTTAAACATAAATATCCCTCAGTTTGACAAGATGTCCACATATAACACGTCAAAGAAATACGATCGGAGATATTACGAAGAGTTTCCTTTAAGTTATCTTTCAAACTTTTATGCAACTTCAAGCAATTCACTCCTGCAGTATTTCTACATATGCTTCTAACTTGATTGTTCAAATATGCATTAATTTTTCTCTTACATTTATGTTCAACCCAAGAAAAAGCATATCCATGCTTTATAATTGCTTTAGCTACCAACTCTCTATATATATTTTGGTCATAAATATTACCTTCTAGTCCCTATGTTCTCAAACTATTATATTGTTTACATTTTTCAATGTGTTTTTGCTTATTGGAGGTTCCATAATATGAGATACAAACAATGGAAACAGTCATACAATGTTTGCAAAGTTCCCTCTCTTTTCCATATTTAGTCTCTGGGAAACCTAACTTCGTCTCTTAGAAAAAGATTATGATTCTGCTACAACATTATTGGTATCACTTGGAACCTCACATGCATTAACATTAAATTCCATGACTACAAAAGTAAAGAAAAATATTATTAGTATTAAGCTGAACCTTACATGCACGTCAAAGACACATAATGAATCACACAAATCTATTAATAAACATGTAATAAATACACACATAATTCTATTAATAATATAGAACTAAAAAGTCTGAATAGAAATTTTTAAAATAAATAATGTACTAAGATATAGAAATATACATTGAGTCGCATCGAATAAGTTTTTTTTCAAATAAGAATATTTCTCCACTGACTAATAAGATATTTGAATTAGCGTGAACTAGATATACAATAAGATAAAAGGAATTGACGTTACCACTTTGATTACTAAAAACTCTTGCGCTTAATTTTTTTAATAATAATTATAGTAGAAAATAATATTAATTTTTAGAATAATAATAACAATTGTAACAGATTTTAGTAATGAATTAATAGTGATAATTCTAAATAATAATGAAAATAATAAAGTGATATGATATTAAAATAACTAACTAAAGAAATTAAATTAAAGTGAATCTTGAAAAAAAGTGAAATATGATGTATTTGGAAATTAGAAGTTATCGTTTACGACAACAAGCAATATCGGGGTAAGGTGCTCGCGCAACAAGGTAGGAGGAGTTGGGCATTGGGTGAAGAGACACATGCGTTTGAGAGTTGAAGTAGAAACGTAGACGCCTGCGCACAACAGTTGGAGCTGGCAGGAGTTGAGCGACGATTGAAACTAACAGGATTGAGCGACGACAGAGGAAATTCTTGAATTTTGAATTTCTTGAGTTAAAGAATAACATCATACTTATATATATAGTATTTGTAAATAATATATAAAAGAAATTCTATATAAATAAAATTATACTTTAACCTAAATAGTGAGGTCTTTTTTTTTTGCTTTGAATATATATAAGGAAGTTCACTTTAATTTAAACGATAAAAGTTATTTTGAATAATAAATTAATTTAAATAAAATTGGTAATTTATTAAAAATGTTATGTTTATAATAAAAAAATATAAATTTTAAGAAGAATATAAAAGTAGGAATTTAATTGTCAAATTGAAAATGGTAATAAATAAAGTTTACTTCTCTTACTTGTAATAAAAATATTAGATTTATAATAAAAATAATAGAAAACAACTAAAACAAATGAGATAATATTAGATTTATAATAAAAATAATATAAAGTTTAATTATGTTACGACTAAAACTTAACAAATAAAGTTATTTATTATTTTTATAATTGGTAATAAATTTCTTTAATAAAAAATTATTTCTTTATCAAATAGTTCTCATTATAAATTTTTCAAAAAAGATTAATATAAAAAAATTGATAACAAATTCTAACACATAAAATTTTGATAACAAATTCTAACACGTATTATATGATCGTATTTATATCAAATTATCAATTTATCATCTCTAAATATTGGTTTAATTCAAAATATTGAACGAATGAGAATTAGAATTAGGCCTAAATGATAATATTAACAAATAAAACTTCTCGAATATGGGGTTAGTGTTTGACATAAAAATAGATCCATTTACCTCAACCATTTCGCCATTTCTAGCAAACTTCTTTTGTATGGTCGTTTGTTGGTTATTGTCTTTGTATGGAATCGCATCGTGCATGGGGTTCTGCACATGTGATTGGTTTGTTGGTGTGGGTTCCACCATATTAGTCAATGGTAGTTTATTACTGCTTGGGCCAGCCTCTTGAGAAAGAGTTTTTGAGATAGTGTTCATATATATTATCTTGGGATTTGTCTGTGTTGACGGTCTTCAGCCATGTGTACGTACAACAAAATTACATTGGTTAGTTGCTGTGTATCTACTGTTGACACTCGATTTTTCGTCCCGTTATTATTATTATTATTATTATATTTTTAATTTTTGGCAGGCTTATACAACAGGCCCAATCGAGCCCAA